GCGACTCTCTACTGTGTCGCGCATTGAGGACCCTCAGCCTCCTCGTCATCGTCTTCCCACTCAGCGCCGCCTGCGCGTGGGTCTCCGCTGCCAGCACCGTAGTCCTCCATGTCGGCGTCCCATTCGACGTCTACCTCTTCCACCTCTTCGTGCTTCTCTTCCGGCTTGTCGTCCTTTGGTAGCGCATCCCTGAGCTTCTGTACCGCAGCGTCGTTCTTCAGCCAGCCGTCCTCGGGGAATTCGACGTCGACTACTAGGTAGAGATCGCCACGAGCGTCGCTGCGCTTGATAGGCATACCCTCGCCTTCAATCTTGAGGATTTGTCCTGGTCTCAGGACATTGCCGTCTGGTTGTTGTACGTTGAGCTTGAGACCCCGTCCGTCGAGATGAGTGATGACTACGCGATTGAAGCCTGTGAGAGCCTCCACCAAGCTGACCTTCAACTCAGCCCTCAGATCTGCGCCTGCGCGCTCGAAGACGTCATGTGGCGTCTCTGTAAGCGTGAAGATGATGTCGCCTGGCTCTTGATCGGGTACTTGATCTGCTTCTCCTGCAAGCACTATGCGCTCGCCCTGTCGCGCACCGCGGGGAATGTAAAGTTCGAGGACGTTCCTGGTCTCCACAACCTTCTTTCCCTTGCACTTCTTACAGCGATGCTTCTCGGGAATAACTTGGCCAGAACCTGAACAGTTGCCGCAGGGAACGGTCTCTTGGGTGACGAGGCCGGGGCCGACCTGACGGAGGACTTGCTTGGCACCTAGAATAGTCAGTATGTCTGGATGATGCGAGATGAAAGAGCGACGTACCGCGTCCGTTACAGACAGCACAAGAGTTGCTCTTAGCGCCCTGCTTTCCTCCGCTGCCCTTGCACATGTTGCAGATGATGTTCTTGGTGCTGGAGAACTTGGTCGTCTTGCCCTTGTACAGCTCCTCCAGGCTGACCTCGTACTCCTGCTCTACCGATCGTCCTTTCCGTGGCACGTTTCGTCCACCGGGCATGCCTCCCATGCCGCCCATTCCAGGCATTCCGCCAAATCCGCCCATTCCGCCGAACATTTGCGCAAAGATGTCGTCGATGTCCGGGCCTTCGCCGCCCATACCGCCTCGGGACGGGTCGAAGGCAGCCATGCCGTGGGTGTCGTACATGTGTCGCTTGTCATCGTCGGAGAGGATCTCGTAGGCTTGTTTCGCGGCCTTGAAGCGAGTCTCGGCCTCTGCGCGGTCATCTTCTGCGACCTTGTCGGGGTGATGTGCTAGCGCAGCCTGTCCAAGTCAGAATGGGGTCGCCCTTGCGTTGTTGTTGCTCACGAACCTTGTGGTATGCCTTCTTGATCTCGATCTTGCTCGCGCCCTTTTCGATCTCGAGGACCTCTGTTCGCATTAGCAATGTTCCAAATGAATAGACGAGTATACTAACCGTAGAGGTCGATTTCTTCATCCACTGGAGGTGACATCGTGTTAGTGAGAGTCGTGTCGTAGTAGACTGGAGGTACAAACTTTTGTGTTGTTGTTGGGTTGAGCGTGGGTAATTGGGAAGCAGACAAACTGGTCCAAAGTATGTACAAGAATAAAGCGAGATACAGCGACGTAAAGGGCCTCGTCCAGTGGGAGTGAAGGCAACAAAGTTTCTCCAGATTTGTCGATCGCAGGCAGGTAATGCGGGCCAAATTGTTAGCAGGCGGCGCCCCCACTAACGTCGAATCCCTGCACGTCATTTTCACCCGCGAACTCGAACCCTTTGCGTCGCATCAACACCGCCATGTCGTTTTCCTTACTCCGCCCACAACTGTCGCAGTACACGTGCCGGTCATGTCTACTTCGCCTCTCACGCGCTTCGCGACGTCCGATCTCTTCGAACACCTACCACATCAAAGAGAATAGTGCTAAAGCCGATGCAAAAGCCGCCGTACCAACATCTCCCGCACGGACGCGTTTTGCGCCTTCGCCAACCGGCTACCTCCATCTTGGGTCACTCCGGACAGCGCTGTTCAATTACCTCCTCGCGAAACGGACAGGCGGCCAGTTCTTACTCCGGATAGAAGATACAGACCAGAAACGCACAATACCCGACGCTGAGCAGCGACTGTTCGACGATCTACGATGGGCAGGACTGCAGTGGGATGAAGGGCCAGAGGTTGGAGGCCCGTATGGACCGTATAAGCAGTCAGAGAGGAGCGCGATATACAGGGAATATGCGCATCAATTACTGGAATCAGGCCACGCATACCGCTGCTTCTGTTCTTCCGAGCGCTTGAACGCGTTGGCGGAACACAGACACAAGCTCGGCATCGCAACCGACTACGACCGCACATGCGCCCCGCCCGCGATATCCAAGGAAGAAAGTGACGAAAGAGCGCACAAGGGCGAGGCGCACACCATACGTCTCAAAGTCCCAGACCAGTACCCGACATACAAGGACCGCATCTATGGCACCTTCAGGCCGCTCAAGAGACGCGGCCATGTCACCGAATCCGCATACGAAGACCCAATTCTGCTCAAATCCGACGGCCTTCCTACATACCATCTCGCGAACGTAGTAGACGACCACCTCATGAAGATCACCCACGTAATCCGAGGGAGCGAATGGATGCCCAGCACCCCCAAGCACATCGCCATGTACCAAGCCTTCGGGTGGACACCCCCAGAGTTCGCCCACGTCGGCCTGCTCGTCGACGAGAACGGCAACAAGCTCAGCAAGCGAAACTTCGACACCGACATCACCGCCTTCAAAGAGATGGAAATCTTTCCCGAGACCCTCACCAACTTCGCCGCACTGCTCGGCTGGAGCCACAAAGAAAAGAGCGATGTCATGGACCTGAAGACACTAATCGATAACTTCAGCCTCAAATTCACAAAAGGCAACACGACCGTCACATTCGGAAAGATGCAATTCCTCCAACGCAAACACGCCCTGCAACGCGCATCAGCCGGCGGCCCCGCCCTCGAAGAAATGGTCCGCAACGTCTCCCGCCTCCTCACCTCCCCCGACTCCCCCTACCAAGAATGGAAGTCCGTGATCGGAAGCCCCTTCCCCGACGACTACATCCGATCCATCATAACCGCCGACGCAGAAAACTACACAAACGCGAACGAGTTCCTGTACCGCAACTCCTTCTTCTTCACCCCTCTCCGTCCGTTTGATAAGCAACCGCCCATGTCGACGACTTCCGATATACCCATGCGCGCACAGATGCTAGCGCAGATTGAAGAGAAGGACTGGAACAAGGACAATTTGATGCAGAAGGTGCATGAGATGATTGATGGGAGGCCTGAGGGGAAGAAGGGGGCGAAGGATGTGTATCATTATCTGAGGAAGACGATTACGGGGCAGGAGCAGGGCGTGCGGTTGTACGATATCTTTGTGATCCTGGGTCGGACGGAGACGTTGAAGAGACTGGGGCTGTTGGTCAATTAGAAGAATGTATAATTGCGCAAGTGTAACGATAGTGTATAAGAAACGAGGTCATGAATATACATGTTAGTTAATTTTCTTGCATTGCTACGATGAACTCGTTGACTTCAATTCGTGATATCATCCCACCCTGATCTATTCATTTACGCCCTTGAACGCCTTGCCATGCCATGCTTTCCACAGTTGACCACGTTGTCATGTCTAGGAAGTCTCCATCTCAACCTCTTGGCTCTTAACCTCCCCGCCATCCGCAAGACCAAAGACCTTATCCTTGACCTTCGCCGCTAGCAGTCCCATGTCCTCTTCACGAGCAATCTTGCTTCCCGCCGCACCCAGCTTGGTCAACTGGTTCTTGCTCTCGTTGTTCGTTGCGTATCCCGCTCCGCCCTTGAAACGCTTGCTGGCGTTGTTCTCCTGCTGCATTTTGCGGGCGAGGTCGGAGATCTGCTTGGTGCCGTAGTCGCGGTTGGAGATGAGGGGCGATGAGGAGAGTGTTTGTACCCAGTACTTGTTCCATAGCGCTTCTAGCAACTTGGCGTCAAGCGAAGACTTGTAGTGCGAGACTTCCAGGGAATAGTAGTGGTTGGCATGTGCACCGAAATCCTCAATCTTGCCGAGCGGAATAGTCTCGAAGCCATCGCTCTCTGCGCCGCTCACGTTCTTGGAGCCGCCACCCGCTTTCGCTTGGTTCTCTACGTACTCTGTGGAGTATGTACGGAAGGCGCCGATCTCGACTTTACCCGCGGAGACGGTTCGGTCGGGGTCGATAACGATGGCGCAGAAAGGGTCCTGGAACATTTGCTGCGTCTTCTGTGTGTTGACGTCGATACCTGAAAGCCAGCAGCCATAGCCGGGATGTGAGTGGTACCAGCCGACGGCATTCTCCATCTGGCCTTGTTCTCGTGCGCGCTGCAGGAACTCTACCATGTACTCGTTTGCCTCGTCTTGTGCGTTGACTCGTGTCTCTGTTCCTTCCACTGGTAACCGGAATGCGTCGGTAACGACGAATGTATGTGCTTCAATCTTGCCTAGCATTAGGCCCATGACTTCGATTGAGCCGCCCGAGCGCGCGTGCATAACCATCTTGAGGAGTGCGATGGCCGAGATGCGGACGGAGGTGAAGTAGTTGGGGTCGGTTCGCCATGGGTGCGCGTCGTTGATGGCTTTCTGTGCGGAGGCTGAGTAGTTGTAGAGGGCGTCTTTGCTGGGGTCAACGAGCTTGACGGAGTTCTCGAGCTCTGGGATGTTTGTTAGCCATGCGACAGATGCGGGGTATCGTGGCGCAGAAATGGATATGCCATGATAATAGCAGGCCTAATCTTACCCCAGGTCTTCAATGCGGTCCCCATGGTTGAAGACAGCGTAGGTTTGTTTGGGTGAGTTTGGTGTTTTGGTGGGGAGGCGAGGGAGCTGTATGCTTGCGGCGGGGAGCTCTAGCGCCAAGAGATACAAGGCATCAGCGAGCAAGCGGGCAGTCCACGGGAGGATGAGATGAAGTGAAAGCAGTCTATTGCGCTAAATGCTGAGATTCATATCGCATATGTCCAACAAAAGAGAATAACTGTGACGCCAGGGTGGTCCATCATCGCTACTTCTTCCGCCGCGACTGATCTTCCCACCCCGACTTCTCATTCATTCTCCGCGCCTCATCCTCCATCTTCTTGACCCATCGCTTCGTCAGCTCCTCGTTCTCCTTGCGTAGCTTCTCCTTTTCCTGCTCCGCCATGTTGAGTTGCAGGTTCAGCGCGACCATCTCATCGTGCACTTCCTCCACAAGTCTCCCCTTGCCCTTGAGCTCCTCTGCCCTGTCCTTGCCCCGCCTTTCCAGTGCTGTTCGCGCCTTCTCCAGTTGTTCTATGCGCTGCTTCTGTTGTGTGTCCGAGGCTTTGAGGGCGCTGAGCTCAGCAGTCAAAGTACTAAGTTGCGTTTCGAGATCACCGCGCGTGCGCTGAGTGATGGCAAGTTCGGAGCGGAGTTGCGCGACAGCGGACGGAGAGGATGCATCGGTTGTCGCTGCGCCTTTGCCCTTTGACGGGATGGCTTTGGTAGATGCGCTGGCTGGGGGTGTGGGCTCCTCCGCGGAGGATGTCTGGGTTGAAAGCTGTGCAGTATTGTCGGCGAGCCTGGTATCTATGGACATCAGCATCTTCTCGTAGCACTGCGCGTCTCGCGTAGGCAGATAACATACAGGCGTTGATGTACTGCTCATGCGCCTTCTCTCTCGCGTCACGCGCATCAAGTGCAGACAAATATTCCGCCAGAGAACTACTCATGGCGGCAGGTAAGGTTGCGCGAGATCAAATAATGTACAAGTTGTCTCTATCGCTATCATGGTGGTTTGCTACGTAGCAGGCTGAAGATGGTCACCATGGACGATTGCGGAGGTCGTCACTGCTCCGATTCGACTCGACCCCTGCTAGCGTCGATCTCGGGAAGCTTCGGTCTTGAATATCGCATGTTGCAGCAACAAAGTCAAACTTCTCTCCCGTTCAATTGAATTTCACGATCTACCGTCAGTTCCTCAAGATGCCGCCAACGCACATCTCCGGCACCTCACGAGCCCTCTACCGTGTCTTCATCGCTCCAAACCTACGCAACACAACTTCCATCCCACTTCTCTACGCCCCAGCATTTGCGCCGACATCGTCGCCCACATCCCTCTCCTCGTCCACACCCAGTCTCACGAGCCGGACCTCCACCCGCGGCATAAAGTACACAAAAGACACACGCCGCCATGCCATCTCCGACTACTACGTCATCGACAGCGCCATCGAAGCCGACATCATCAATCTCGTAGACGAAGAGGGCGTTTTCCACAACAACGTCCCACTCGACGAGGCGCTGACAAGTTTCAACAAAGTCACCCACCACCTCGTACAAATGACCCCAGGAAAATACGACGAAGATGGAAACCTAGACCCGAACAGCCTACCAACATGCCGCGTCATTTCCAAAATCGATCTCCGCGCACAACACCAGAAGAAACTCGAGACGCTCCGACGGCAAGCCAAGGGCCAGGGCACAGGACCTGCTGCAAAATCCTTAGAACTGAACTGGGCGATAGCGGCGGGCGACCTGAAGCACAGGCTGGTGGCTATGAAGAAGTTTCTGAAGGAGGGGCGCAAAGTCGAGGTTACACTCGGGCCGAAGAAACATGGCAGAAAGGCGACAGAGCAAGAAGCGAATGCGGTTTTCAAGGCAATCGAGAACGCGGTGGCGGATTGTAAGGGAGCTCGGGAGACTAAGAGGGAGGGAGAAGTTGGCGGAATTATGACGGTTATGTATGAAGGTAAGAAGGTGGAGAAGAAGGAGGGCGATGATGAGGCGGCTTGAGAGAACGTTGAGATGAGATGGACAAGCAAACCTAGGGAAACCCTCGCCACGTGCTCTTGAGGCGAATGCCGAGCCGCGGATGATTGGGACGTGGGCCGAAGATGCAAGAAGAAGGTATGGTAAGGGAAAAGCACGTGAGCATTTTCCGTGCCATGTAGTATACTGTACAACACAACCCACCTACACGTGGTGCAATGATTCATGAACATCTATAGATACACTGTACAGTAAACACGATCAAAACTTTCATATCCTCTTCTCCTCCTTGACCGGCTCAGCCCTCGTCTCAAACCCAGTCGCAGCATCAACCTCTGGCATCTCGTCCTCAACAGCCTCGAGCTCCGCAGTCTCGGCAGCTACCTCCGCCCTCTTAGCCTCGAGTACCTGCTCACATACCCTCATCTCTTCCCTCGTCTTCTTCTGGCCAACAACATCGCGCTTGAGCGTAGCGACAGTGTTCTTTTGCCTGGCTACTTCAAGCTTAGCCTCCAGAATCAACAGCTCAGCGTCCGAGACATAAGTCCTCTGATCACTAGCTAGTTCAAGCTGCTCATCCGCGCTCGCTTCATTGCCGGCTAGACGCAAGGCTGCAGAGCGGTGCTCGTGGATTTGGGCTGCGAGCAGTGCGGCTTCGTACTCTACCTCGTGTTTCTGCACTTCGAGCTCACGGACCTCGATCATGAGTTCTTCAGATTTTACGGGCGAGGTTTCTAGAGTACCGCCGGGCCCGGCGAGATCTTGCTTTGTGTTGATTTGGTAGGTTAACATCTGCAGACGAGGGAAGGATTCAGTGTTGGCGTCGTTGAGGTAGTCGGCGAAAGAGTGGCCGGTCCTTTCAGCGAATTGCAGTTCTTTGGCTTCGGCGAGGAGGTTGTAGGCGGATACGGTAAGCTCGTTGCGCTTGGGTCCTTGGGGGAGAGACTCGGCGTAGGCGTAGCGGGTTCCTGCTACGTTCTCGTAGATGTCAGCGCGGATGGTGTCCTTTTCCTTGGGGTCGGAGAGGGAGAGTTCGCGGAATTCTTCCCAGCCGATGGTCGATTCGAGCTCCGTGGGTGGCGATGATCGTATGAGGCTCTTATGCCAGGGCTGGAGAGCCTTGTGTGTGAGGTCTTCCTCGTGGGAGAGGAGTATGTTGTGCAGGGCGTCGCGCTCGATGATGACGCGGGACAGCTCGAGAAGGTTCTTGACGTCGATTTCTTCCCATGTGAGTGTTTGCTCGCCGCGATCCATCTCCGCCAACGCTTGCTCTAGTAAGGGTCGCTCTTCTAGTGTTACCATCAAGCTCCTGCCCCTGCCCAGCAACTTCTCGTGGTACTTGAGGGTGTCACCTAGTAATCTCACAGACGGGCTCTCAATCTCCATTGCGTTGTCCACGATGATCAGCTCGCCTTTTCGGAACCGGTATGACAGTGCTGTCCGCCATGCGAGGTCGTAGATCTTCTTGGGCAGCTCAGTTGCGAAGTCGCGAGGCTTAGGACCAAATGCGACACCTCCACCTCTCAGCATGGGCGACTTTTTGTCTCCCAGACGAGCGCGACCCGTTCCCTTTTGCGGTCTAACCTTCCTGCGGGAACCTCTGACTTCATACCTAGTCTTGGTAGAAGCAGTACCTAACCTTGTACTATCGCCCTCGTAAACGACCGCGCGGTGTAATATGTCTCGTCGGGTGGGTAGGTAGAGATGGTTTGCAGGGTATTGTTCGAATCGGAGCGGTTCGAGGGAGGGGAATCGGTGGATGGTCGCCAGCACAGACTGCTCTTCAAAAGGTTTGACGGGCACATACCCGGATCCGGATTTGGGAGTGCTTATAGAAGCTAGTGTCGCCTGAGAGGGCGCAGACGTGGTGATTGAGCGGGTGGTGGGTGGGCATAGAGATTTCTTGACGACGTTAGCATGTCGCATACAGTGACGGCGAGGCAACATACGGCACAGCGCGTGCATAGCGCATTTGGCCGCACCGACAGCCTTCTCAATTGGTGTGTGGCGCCACGCATGGGCGCGGATATCCTCGTGGAAGCCATGCCGGTCGTCGTGGTGCAATTGTTCCAGTCGTCGGAGTTGAAGGCGGAGGTCCTACGAAAAGCGCTAGTGTGATCATCACCACATTTTCCAGCGGCACCATCGCTCTTGAACATCGTCGAGACCATCAACACCATGGCCTCCACGCCCACTCTGCGCCAATTCAGCGCGTGTCTGAGATGCGTGCGACAATTACCAAGCGCCAATGGCACCCGCCGACTCCTCTCCACCTCGGCGGCCGTCCGTGAGGAGGTGCAGACACAACCCACGAATGCGACTCCCCCTCCACCGCCGTCGAACCCTCCGGAAGGCGCTGCTCAAAAGGCTGGCCCCCAAGATACCCCGGAATACATGCAGAAATGGGGCACGCTAGACCCCCAGATGGTGGAGAACAAGAAGCAGGAGCGCCGATTGCTGCGGAGAGAACATGTCCAACCTGTTGGTTCCCGTCGTCGCCGTGCCGCCCTTCGTCGGTCGACCCTGCAAAAGACCGATGAGGTCCCATTCGAACAGCTGCCGTACCAATGTTTCCAAGAGGCGAGGAAGGTCTTGTTGGAAGACAGGCAGGAGAAGATTAAGGAAATCAAGGTTCAGCAGGAACGGATAAAGAACCTAATGGCGCAAGACGCAAGCATCAGTGGAGGCCCAGCAGCCAAGGAGCACAGACTGCGGAGCATGAGGAAGCATCTGAATGACCTGATCATCCTGGCCGACATCAACGATCCAGTTGTGAAGCGAAAGTTTGAGGACGGACAGGGTAGGTTGTGCCAACCGCTTTCTCTCAACGTGACTGACTTGCGAAGGTGACATGAACAAGCCCATATACCGCTATCTTGCCGACCGGAAATGGCGCCAGTACAAGCGTCTCGTGCTCGAACAACGCGTTACGCAACTTGCCATCATCCCCGATCTTCTCCCGTCTCTCGACTTGGTTGCAGACATTGATCTTGGCTTCGGACGAAAGCCAGTCGCGCCCGGTGACTTCGTAGACTCCGCCATCAGCGAAAAGATGCCTCGACTCAATGTTCAAACTTTCACACCCGGTGAGAAACTCGTCACTGTGGTGGTCGTAGACGCAGACGTGCCAGTCCCAGAGAAGGACAGCTTCACCTACCGATGCCACTTGATCGCCTCCAACATCTCCATCTCGCCTAACAGCACCTCGATACCACTCCAGCGCATCGCCCAAGAGGACCAAAAGACAGAGGATCTCAGTGCCAAGAAGATCGCACTTCCATGGTTAGCACCCTGGGCCCACAAAGGAGCGCCTTACCACCGCCTAGGTATCTTTGTATTCGAGCAGCATGACAACCAGCCGCTCGACGTCACCAAGATCAACAAGGCCAAGCGCATGGGATTCAACCTTCGTAGCTTTGCCGATTCGAACAAGTTGAGCGCGATCACTGCTACGCTGTTCAGGACGAAGTGGGACGAGAGCATGGAGGGTGTCATGGAGCGTAATGGTTTGAAGGATCAGATCGCTGTAGAGTTCAAGAGGAAGAGAGTGGAGCCACTTCCCTACAAGAGGCGCACTGAGCGCATGCGGTGAGGTGGATGAGGTTGCACGTAGTGAGTGCATGTAGTCATGTAAGCCATATGTACAATACGATGACCTGACAGCTGCAAGTTCGAGTTGTCAGCATGATATGTACAACAAGAGCATTGAATGCGACAATGAAGTGGTAGCATTGTTTACCAGCCCAGACTTTCTGCGTGGGATGTTGCGCAGTGGCTGCCTTTGATGGTGGCCGCTCTTTCCAACCTCACGTACGGGGGGGATGCTTCCTTCCTTGCCTCACACACGCGCGCTTGGAGCTCGACCCTTCTTTCTTCTGCCGGACATGCCTTGCCTGTTTTTCTTGACAACCGCAGGAATCGCCATCAACAGATCTCCAATCGTCGCTTCAACTACGCTTATCTCCTTTACTCGTCCCAGGTGCCGCACTCACGCCCATCATGACGCAGAATGCACCTTCCGTTCCAAATTTTCTTCCGTCCCAACAACAGATAGCGCTTGCTCTTGCCATCGTTCGCAGTAAGCCGGCGGACATACCAATACGAGGTAATTTCCGACTGCCCAGATCATGCACACCTTCTAACGGTCGTTAGACTACGTCCTGCAACTGCGTGCTCAAATCAGGCCTGGTCCAGACCCGAGGGAACGGGATGATTCCGAATGCTACGTTGATCAAGTCGCCTACTGGAAGGAGCGATGTCAACAGGCCGAGGACGAATGCGGCAGGCTTCGGGGTATCAACATCAAACTCGAACGATCAAACCACCTACTGTCGGGCCTCTCCGGACCTGTCCCTGATGTTGATACAAGCATGCTGATGGCGCCGACTGCATCGCCAAAGAGATCTAAGCCATCGAGACAAGCACAGAAACAGTGCCTACAACCGGCCGCTGCTGCCCAGGAGACCATCGATAATGATATGGACTTCCTGGATGTGCTCGGTAAAGACGGCTCGAATCTCACGGAAACTTTGTATACTACACACTTGCTATGCAGGAGTGAAGAGCCGGACGCCGAAACACTGTGCCACAATCTAGTAAGAGTTGCTTCGAGTATCGGCAAAGTCATATGCATAGTCGCCCAAAACTACGAGCAACTGTCACGTCGAGGGAGGAGGACACTGGAAGCCATGTCGTTGGACCAAGACAAATCCGACTTTGCCATCGCTCTATCCGTCTGCGCAAGAGCTTTCATGTCCTTACTTGTCGGTACCAACAAACTCATGGAGACAAAAGCAGATGCACGCCTCGCGAGTTTGATCGTTTGCGAGGTAGCAGATATGTTCAACGCCGGATTGCAATCAATTGAGGCCTCAGCGCGAAGGACAGCGCAAACTTTCTTGTCGCAACCACCCTCGCCAAAGAAGACGAAAACAAAGACGCCGCCTTCTATCATCAAGGAGTCGCCGCCGGCCAGAGCAGTCGCCCACTTGCTGATCAGTCTCCTTGGGTTCCTTGAGAAGACCGATCCCGTGCATCAGAAGATCTTCGATGGCTTCGTTTTTGTTTTGTTCGAGCGTGTTGGCAAGAGATTGTATTACTTCACATTTGGACAGCACCGCAGCACGTCCATCGAAGGCAACATCCTACCGCCGCCTGAGCCGAGAGATGAGACAGAAGAGATAAGGCGAGATACCGATGCCCTTGGAACGCGCCTGGAAGTCAAAGCTCTTGTGTTGATACTTGAACGCGCCATGGGGCTAGCTCCAAACCATATGAATCCCCAGAATGCTCGTCCAAGCCAGACGTCAAACCGTCCGGTCCGTACATTGAGCACCAAAACTCCCGTCACGAGTACCAGGGCGCGCCTGAGTCCGCTTGTAAAAGATCGCTTGCAAAGAACACTCGTCGCATGTATGTATGAAAATAACACGAATGATGAGTTTCTGGACGTTCTCACGAAGCCGCTACCAGCCATGCGGCTGAGCTCCCTACAAAACGTGGCTAAAATCGACGACAAAGATGTGGAGACTTGGTATAAAGAGGAGATCTGGCGACTTGTCGGCTGGGATGTGCTAGCCAGAGAGGGCGCGTGGTGAGACTATTGTAAGGAATGTGAGAAATGTAATGAAGCTATGTAATTGTTTACAGTGCATTCTCGAGATATCATCTGGCGTATCTAATTGCTGGCCTCCTGCGCCAACTGAAACTGGCTAACAAACCTCCGTTCCACCACCGACTTTTGTGTAGTCTGCACTTGATCCGTCTCCTCCTCATCCCTCATTCCCCATCCACCCCCACCAGGTGTATCAATAACAAAGCAATCCCCTTTCTGTACAGAAAAGTCCTTACGACCACCCAGCCTACACCACCGCCCACCAACCTTCTTGACAATATAGTTCACCCCACTACTCCCATCCTCACCCCCAAACATACCATACGGCCTAGTAACCCGCCTCTCACTAACAATCGAAGCATTCATATCGCGATAAAACTCATACACGCGCCGAATCCCATTCCCACCATTCCAGCGCCCCTGTCCACCCGATCCATCACGTATACTGAACTCGCGAAGAAGCACAGGGTAACGCTTCTCCAATAGCTCTGGGTCCGTGATACGTGTGTTCGTCATGTGGATGTGCACGCCTGAAGTGCCGTGCCAGCCTGGTCCAGCGCCGCTGCCTCCACATATTGTTTCTCCGAAGCCGAAACCAGAGTTGGGAATGGGTGTGCCGCTGTCGTCGTGGTCGCCGTTTATACCGAAGGAGAAGACGTTGCAGTCGCCTTGGCTCGCGGCACAGGCTTCGAATGCGCGGATGACGACGTCGGTGACGCGTTGGGATGTGATGGGGTTTCCTGCGCATACTGCGGCGTATGGCGAGGGGTTCAGGATACTTCCTTGTGGGATTGTAAAGGTGAGAGGACGGAGACAGCCTTCGTTGAGCGGGATGTCTTGGTTGATGAGACAGCGGAGGACGTAGAGTGTGGCGGACCTGGCGATTGCTTGCGGGGCGTTGAAACTGTGGTATCCCTCTTCGCCTGTACCGGTGAAGTCGAAATGTGCGGACCCGTTGTCTGGGTTGATGGTTATGGCGAGCTTGATGGGTGTGCCGTCGTCCATGAAATCGAGTGCGGCGAGTGGCTTGCCGCCCGTTTGTTGATATGTACGCTTCAGGAATTCGCGTACGCAGGACTCGGCGTTGGCGGTGATTGCGTGCATGTTTAGGTGTACGGTTGAGAGACCTCGTTCAGCAATAAGATCAGCCACGAGCGCTGCGCCTTTGGCGTTCGCAGAGACTTGTGCTTTGAGGTCGTTGATGTTATCGGCGAGTTTGCGTGTTCCCGAGCATCCTGGGTATTGGGCGGGGTCGTGGAGTAGTACCCTCTTAACTAGTTCTTCGTCAAAGATTCCATCACGAACGAGATATTCTGAGACGATCATGGCACCCTCTTCGTGTAGTTCGACGCTGCCGGCTGGCATTGAGCCAGGAAGTATTCCACCGATTTCTTGGTGATGGCCTCTCGAAGCTGTATAGAAGATGATAGTTTTGCCTGCATCGTCAAAGACAGGTGTCACGCATGTTATGTCCGGAAGATGCGTGCCGCCAGATATGGGGTGGTTAGCGACGATGACGTCGCCTGGTCGTAGTTGGCCTAGATACTTCTTGTGCTGATACATCACTGCCTGCTCCATTGAGCCAAGGTGGACTGGTACATGAGGTGCATTGGCTACAAGGCGACCTTCAGGACTGAAGAGCGCGCAGCTGAAGTCGAGACGTTCCTTGATGTTGACCGAAACACTCGTCTTCTGTAATGCGAGGCCCATCTGTTCAGCGATACTCATGAAGCGATGAGCCATCACAGAAAGCTCGACTGGATCAACAGTCCGGGGTATAGCAGCTTCGTTGCCTGGTAGGGTAGTCGTTCGGTCGAGTTCAATCATGACATGACGGTCTAGGATAGTTGCCTTGGAGCTCGGTGCAACCACAATGGTCTGTGTGTTGTCCAGAATGATGGCAGGCCCATCGATGATATCACCCTTTGCCAATTTTGTCAAGTGATACAGAGGAGAAGTAGTCCAGCCATTTTCGAAGAAGACAGAAACATGATCTGAGATCTTCTTTGTCGACACGGCGGATGGGGAGCAGTCGGTGAGCTGTTGATCGAGGTTGAACTCGGGTTCGACCGATGGGCTCCGGGCTGTCGCTCGGACTCGCACGTTCTCAACGAGGATATCGCGTCCGGGCATGATGAAGGAGAATTGGCGCTTGTGTTCAGCTACGAACGCGTCGTCCCACGTTCCTTGATCAGGGCGCGAAACCATGAAGGTTGTGTCAGACCCTTCGTAGCGGAGGTTGAGAAAGTGCTCGAAACCGATTGTTTGGCCGGAGAACCCGTCGTTGGCCAGTTGTTCCGCTGCGTTCTTCTCGAGCGACGACAGCCTTTCGTCAAGTTCATCGAAAGAGGACTTCAGCAATACTGAGCACGGCTCCTGAACATCGCGAACAACGTCTGCCAATGCCATGCCATATGCTGACAAGATAGAAGAGTAGCGATGAATCAAAATGCGATCGATGCCCAAGTTGGCAGCAATAGCGCAGGCAGCTTGTCCACCTGCACCGCCGAAGACCGCAAGATCGTGATCGGAGGTTCGGTGCCCCTTGGCTTCAGTGAGCGAGCGGATGGGTCGACACATGGTCTCATTCGCAACTTCCAAGAAGCCAAGAGCAAGTTCTTCGACAGTCTTCTTCTTCCCATCAGTTCGCGACAAGTCAGCATTGACCGTGACGAGTAACTCTTCAAAAGCTCGCTTTGCGCCTTCATAGTCCAGAGCTTCGTTCTCATGCTTGCCAAAGATCTTTGGGAAGTACTCAGCCTGCAGACGTCCCAAGACAAGATTTGCATCTGTAACCGTCAAAGGCCCACCTTTGCGGTATGCCGCTGGGCCTGGATGTGCACTTGCTGATTCGGGGCCTGCTAAGAAGAGGCCGTTGCGATAAGAGAGTATGCTTCCGCCGCCTTGAAACTTTAGCAGCTACTCAAATCCGAGATCTTGAATGCTACTACTTACCGGCAGCAACAGTATCGATCTCTAGCTGTGGGGATTGAATCGTCACACCTGCCGTGATCGACTCGAAAGTATGCTCGAGCGTTCCCGCATACCGCGAAACATCAGTACTGGTTCCGCCCACTGCATCAACGTTAGCATACTTCCGGGTTGCATCGCAAACTTTGGACTTACTGTCAAAACCTATTACTGGCTTCTTCCGCTGTATATCAAAACATGTCTTGCTGAAGCCAACAACACCTCCTGCCGGGCCTGATAAGATAGCTTTGAGACCGCTGAAATGCTGCCATCCCACTAGTCCTCCGTCGCTTTGCATGAACTCACAACGAGCACCCTTGGTATCTTCCAGGCCGCCTACAAAGCCTTCACGAAAGCCATCGATGTAATTGCGCGTCAAAGGCGTAAGGTACGCGTCTGCTGTTGCTGAGTAGCCTCTCGAGATGGCTCTGATCATGGGGAAGATCTGGGATGAGACTGATATCTGCTTGAAGCCGATGTCTCTGGCGATATCGGCAACTTGAAGCTCGTGGTTCGGGAAAGTATAGCTGTTGATGAGCGTTATCGCCAAGGACCGCACGCCGTTGTCGAACAGGGCCTGGAGACCTTCGCGAGCGTGTGTGCTGTCTACTGAAGTGTCAGCGAGGAAGTCACTTCCACGTCAAGTTACTAACCAATTGGTCGCAGAACGCGAATGGCTTCGCCACCGACCCCCCTTTCCAGGTTATAGGAGTCGCGGTTGGGGTCTCGTAGTGTTGACTTGTCCTCGGTCGAATCGTGAAGTGTGACGCGCTCGTCAATCTCTAGAACATCGTCGAACAAGGTCTCAGGCCTCCGGATGTTGAGATCAAACAGCTTCGGTCTGGTCTGATCACCTATGCGTAGTAGATCTCTGAAACCTTTGGTGACGACCAACGCGCATTTTGTGGAGTTTCGTTCCAACAAGGCGTTTGTCGCGACTGTAGTTCCCATCTTGATCGATTCGATGTTGCTGGTGTCAATCTTGCCACCGCGTGGGATGGATACGTTCAAGGCCTGCTCGAGTATCCTGCGGATACCCTCTGTGGGTGCATCGGCATAGTTCGTCGGATCGTTACTCAGAAGCTTGACTAGCACATCTGGTTTCCCGGGTACGATACCTAAGCAGTCTGTGAAGGTACCGCCGCGATCTATAGCGATGCGGATGCCTGCACCCTGCAGCGGCTGCTCAACGAACGGCATGTTTGGTGGGCGATTGAAAGGGGAATAAATCGAGGAAAAAGTGAACCGCGGTCTCCGACAGCCAAAAGCTCCTATATGTCCTACAACTACTGGGAATTGAAAAAGACCACCCTCGTGCCAGAGGATAGATCAAGGTATGAACACCCCAAACAGGCAACGCCTCGTCAGCTGTTTCGTCACGCGCCATTGGCTGTAACAACACCGATGCCGCAGGGCATATTGTTCCGAAGGCATGGCAGCGCGGGTTTGTAATGCCTATCGCGTCGCGTTGAGGGTGGAGTTGCTGCGCATTCCGGCAGGATGAGGATGACGCGCGATTGCCGATCCCTTCCCAGGAAACACGCTAATACTTCACTAGCGCGGCGCGAATGAACCCCTCAGTGAATCCTTCGAAGTTCCGACGTTCCTCTCCATCGGAGCCCAGAGTCCGAAAGAATGGCAGGGGTCGATATCACGCTCTCCACCATATGCTGAGTGGCTATGGGATTATGAGCATGGGTTTGCAGCGCGCATGCCGAGGTTGCAAATTGATGCGCCTGCCTCATGGCAGCGTCGCCGTGATCTGCCTGTAAGAACACCATCATTATCGCATCTGGATCCTATCAATATGACCGAAAGCATCAACCTGCAATTGGGGTGGCCGTCGCCGTCACTCTTTCCATCGGCTCAACTTCTCGACGGCGCGTCAAGCGTACTCAACTCGCAAGCAAAAACCGCAGCCTCACTCATCTACGGCCCAGATGCTGGCTACGAACCACTTCGACGCAGCATCGCAGCATGGCTCACTTCTACGTACGGACGCGGTTCGGAACTTTCGTCCCACCGCATCTGTGTTACGAATGGAGCGTCGGGAAACTTGGATAACGTCCTTGCACGCTTCACCGAGCCAGGCTATACACGCAACATATGGATGGTTGAACCATGCTACTTTTTGGCCTGTCCAATTTTCATGGACAACGGGTTCCAGGGGATGATGAAGGGTGTGCCGGAAGACGATGAAGGGCTGGATGTGGACTTCCTACGACGAAGTCTCGCGGACGCAGATAAATCGACAACACCCGCTCCATCAACGCGAAAGACGGGTGAAAGATATAAGAAGCTTTATCGGCATATCATCTACTGCGTGCCGACGTTCTCAAACCCAAGCGCGAAGACCATGTCGCTTGGGCGAAGGCAGCAACTCATTCGCTTAGCAAGAGAATTTGACGCCCTTGTGGTCACCGACGATGTGTATGACATACTACGCTGGCCAGCGGACAAAGGCGGTAGCTATGAGAGCCTCGGTGACGTACCTCCACGAATTGTCGATATCGATCGCACACTTGAAGGAGGCCCAAAAGACGAATGGGGTAATGCTATGAGCAATGGTTCGTTCTCGAAGATCATAGCACCGGGTGTACGAGTAGGCTGGGCAGAAGCGACCCCTGCGTTCACGCTTGCACTGTCGCAAGTGGGCGCGACCAGATCTGGAGGCTGTCCCGCACACATGGCTGCTTCGTTTGTTCATGAGGTGCTTGAATCTGGGTTGTTGCGCAAGCATCTTGTAACCAAAGTTCTTCCGACATTTCAGGCTCGCTATTATGCTATGCTGGAAGGCATAGAAAATTTTCTGGTACCACTGGGTGTCACTATCTCTACTGGGAAGCCGTACAGTGAGATTTCTGGCCAAGCGAGCGGCGCCGACACTATTCCTGAGGAGTCTTCTGCCCAAGCTGGAGGCTACTTCATCTGGCTACTGTTGCCAGAAGGTCTGGCTGAAAAGGGTGCCGATTTGGCTGCCAAAGGCTTGGAGAAATACAATGTAAAGTTTGCATATGGCGACATGATGCAAGTGCAAGGGGACCCTACATCCGCCGTTCGTGCGGCAAAGGGCTATGGGAATGGCATACGTTTATCATGGGCATGGCACACGGAGGTCGAGATTCTTGAAGGTATCAAGAGATTAAGTGCATTGATCAAGGAAGGTAGTAAATAGGTCTAAACCTAGAACATGTAGTTGATACATATTGGATCGGTTGTAAAATGCAGGCTCATCCTCTTGATGGTGGCGTGAGTAAACCCCCAACGACAGCATGTGATTGACCATGCTTTTTAGCACTGTCGTCCAAGAAGAATTTTAAGACAACTCCAGCTGCTGCCACAGAATCGTCATCCGCATCGATAGCATCGAGCGTCTCTTCCAAGACCTTAGGCTGCCAATTCGGAAAGAAATACTTGATTGTCTCACTGTTGATGAAACGGTCAAATTCGAAGTGGCCCTGGAACGTAAGGACACGACCAGGTTCGTACATGCCCTGATTAGCGCAGTGCTGAGTTCTTCCCAGCGTTGTCCAGGAGCCCGGCAGCGCTTCTACATCTGGAACAACCACGTGGTCGTGATGCACGAATTGCAACCTCATCTTTTTGACATTCATATCATCTTTTCCCTCCTTGTTTTCAACCAATGCATGGTAGAATTGTCGATGTAGTGAGATCTCTTTTACCCCTAGTTCCCAGCCTTCCGGATGCTTCTCCACCTTCACACCATAATCTTCTAGTAGAGCTTGACACACCAATTGGTGGCCGAAGCAGCTGCCGAAAATCTTCACCCTGGGATGTCTCTCATATGTTTCTTTCGTCCATCTTGCGAGTTTGCGTATCCAGAGCAGCTCATCGTAGGCCGAGTTCGCGGAGCCTGAGATGATGACAGCATCGAACTCTGCTATCGAGCTGGGATATTCGTTCTTCGTGACGTCGAAGTCCGTAGATGTGATCTGAATGGTAGGGTCCAAGGACGCGCATGGTGACTTTGTGTTGGCAGCTGCGGACGAAAGAAGTTGGTGGAAGATACGCCCATAGGTGGGGGCGCGCTCGGCGGCAACAACAGGCACCGGTGCATCGGCATTAAGCATGCAAATGCGTAGATTTCGTGACATGGTTGCACGAATTGAGTGAGAGAGCTTTTGGTTTGATGTATCCTTCCTGAATAACGTTTTCTCAAGCAATGTATCTGTCTTCTATGGATGTCGCTTTCGGGATGCCCGCATTCGGCGATGCACGTGATGGCCGCCGATAAGCGGTTGACGTTTGTCGCGACTATCTCGCGATTTGCCACGTCTCCAACCACGCAAGGCCACTGACCTCGGCCACTTCGATATTCGATCAACCACCGCGACGACGTCCTCACAATGGTTGTAAGCATCTTTTACGTGATGCGCGATGATCACAACACTCTGCGTACGAAATGTGACGGACAATTGGCGCCGCTGCAGGACGCCATATCCGTACGCGCAGCAACCCTTGAGCAAGCCCTATCGCCCGTTTTCCCATGGCGCATGTCGTCCATACAGACGGATCCTAGCGGTCGGGTATCAGGACCCATACTAGCACTATCATGGCGTGGTGTGAGGGCCTGACAGTCCACTATTGGTCGTGACCCACCGTGCCACCATCGGACATGAGAGTCCGAAGAACCATTTCTTTGTCCCTCGACGCTAGGCAGCGAACATGGGTATGCGAACCGGTTGATCGTTGCCGTCGCCAGAATGCGGAGAATGACAACGTTCACGAGTCAAGGACACAATCTTAGTCCTATCGAGCTGGACTCTGACGTTCCATATCCCGTCCAGCCGCTGTCTAGCTGGAGATAGCGACACTCAACGAGATATCAAGATAGGTATTACTGATATGATTCTTTGTCTTGGTCTTGTATAAGATACGCATCTAATCAGGTGTTCGAGACACCCATTGGGAGGTTCTTTTTGCATCTCCATCCTTACCCCACTCATCGCTACCATGCCAGACGACAGCAAAGTCATGTCGTCCGCCGACATCGAGGACACACATTCCGTCAAGATGGGAGAAGTTTCCTCAGCCAACGTTGATGTGGCGGCTGCCTATGCTCATCATCTCACGGGGGAGAATGCGTATACAAGAAAAGAAGCGACACGCTTGCGATGGAAGCTAGACCTGCGTCTTGTGCCTTTGCTCTGGTGTGAGTGCTTGTAAAGCGAGATAACGAGAAGCGCTCGCTAACAGACACATCAGTCAACATCACGCTGGGCGCTATGGACAAAGTGACGACAGCTACAGCGGCCTTGTACGGCTTCCGAGCTGATACTGGCTTGACTGGAGATAGATACAGCTGGGTCGGCAGTGCATTCTATGTGAGCAATCCCAACTATCATTGCTTCTATAGTGCTGACAATGCGTGTAGTTCGGTTATCTGTTCTGGTGCCTACCGAGTGGCAGCCTCCTCCAACGCTTCCCGATCGCCAAACTAATGTTTGTCGTCCAACTCCTCTGGGGCTGCATTCTCATCGCGACTGGCTTTGCCAACAACTTCCCCACGCTTATCGCACTTCGTGTCCTTCTTGGAGCCCTTGAAGCGCCCATTGTACCCGGCAACTTCCTCATCATCAGCATGTGGTACCCGCGACGTGAGCAACCTCTTCGAACCGGCTTGATGTATACGGGTCTTTCTGTGTGCTTCACTGGCCCAATCGGATACGGTATCGGATTCCTAGCAGGCGAACATCAATGGCGCGCTATGTTCTGGATCACAGGCGCAATGACTATTGTATGGGCTTGTGTGATCGGTATCTTCTTACCCGACAATCCTGTCAAGGCGAAGTTCGTCAGCGAGCGACAAAAGGCCATCGTAATTGACAAGATCCGGCAAGATCAGACGGGAGTCGAGAACAAAACGTTCAAGAAGGACCAGATGATTGAAGCCTTCCTTGATCCTAAGACGTGGCTAATGTTCTTCTTTCATATCTGGATCAGTAGTGAGTAACCCCGATGAGCCACCCTTCCAAATTTAGGCTAACGTCTCTAGTTCCGAACGGAGGTTTGACGAACTTCACGCCTCTCATTATCAAAGGCCTCGGCTACACGTCTCAGCGCTCGACGCTCCTCACAATGCCTACGGGTATCTTGCAGACTGTTGCGTCCTACGTTTGCAATGGCGGAGTATTTCTGACTGCGAAGTATTTCCCAGCAAAACAGCTGCGAACCGCATGGGTCGTGTTTGGTATCATCGTCGGTATGATCTCCGCAGTCTTCTTATACGTTCTGCCTATCGACAACTACAATGGACGTCTCGCAGCGTTGTACTGCTCATACTTCTACCTTGGCCCCTACATCGTCGCCCTCGGTATCAACACGGCAAACACCGCAGGCCACACGAAGAAAGTTACTGTCAATGCGCTGGTCTTTATCGCATACTGTATCAGCAACATCATCGCGCCCCAATTCTTTAAGGCCGACCAGGCACCGCTATATCCGCTTGGTATGGGTGCTGTGCTGGGAAGCTACGTCTTGTCGATGATCACCATCACTATGTATGCAACGTATTGCTGGTATGAGAATCGCAGGCGAGATCGCGTTGACTCTGATAAGGGTGGAAGGGTGCATGCAGATACTGACTTCCGCGACTTGACTGACAAGCAAAATGTGCACTTTCGATATGTATGGTAGATAGAACAGAGGCTGAGGCCAGTTTGACACGGGATTTGCAGTCACTACAGATAATCTACAAATGACTGAATAGCCTACGAACAGACTACTGTACACGTGACTAAAGCCCCTCCACAGTTCAGCACATGCATTCTGCCGATTAAGGTCTATTGGCCAATTCGTAAATAGATCCAACACAAATCGAGTTCCTGTAGTTGTCAAGCGGGATACCCAACATTCGGAAGCCGCAAAGCTATCAGCCCTGGAGGCGTGCGCCTCCGCACGCAAAAGTGGACCCGTCCTCACGTTCGCTTATCTTCCGATAGCGGATTCTGTCGGACTTGCAAGTGCGAGACTGCGAGATGCACGAGACCTCCGCGCATGTTTGCAGTGGAGAAAGCACATACCCTGCATATGCCGAGTGACAAGGATAGCTACGCGTCTCGCGTGTCAAGCTAGGGTCACTGCGACATGAAGAATGCTTCTTATTGATAAATAGTCAGAGGCACCTCGTTGACCGAGACACTTCATCCTACGAGCTGAAAGGCTAGACGATAATACATATCACATTTTCTTGCATTCCACACGATGCCTAAACTCGACATATCCGTTCAAGATGAGCAGAAGGCTTTCGAAGCTAATGTAGCTGCTATTGAAAAGCAATGGAGCTCTGCAAGGCAGTCGCATTTGAAGCGGTATGTGGCCCCGTCAGATCTCAAGCAGTAGATCGACTCCGTGACAGATTCAGCTGACATCGTTACCAGACCATACACGGCGAGCACTATAGCCGTGCTTCGTACTTCCATCCCCGCTTCCTCGGAAGCCTCCTCAATTCAGGCCATCAAGCTCTGGAAGCAACTTAATGCACATAACAAAGCCGGCACATGCGAGTTGACATTTGGCACGACCGACCCGGTTGCAGTCTCGCAGATGGCCAAACACCAGCAGACTGTCTACGTATCCGGTGCTCTATGCGGATTTTCGGAAGTCGCACTCCCCGGAATGGACCACGCCGACTACCCATGGGATACCGTGCCAAAGGTCGTCTCCAAGATCTTCAAAAGCCAGCTTTGGCACGACCAGCGTCAGCGACAATACCGGTTACGACATCCGATTGAGGAGCGTGAAGAGCTGGAGAACTGGGACTACATGGCGCCAATCGTCGCGGATGGCGACATGGGCTTCGGGAGCTTGACGAGTACAATGAAAATGGCGCGCGAGTTCGTGGACGCTGGCGTAGCGATGATCCACATTGACGATCTTGCTATCGGAATGAAGAAGTTTACTATTGGTCAAGGGCGTACTATTGTGCCGACGCAAGAGTACCTGGATCGCTTGACAGCTGTGCGGATGCAATTTGATGTCATGGGTGCAGAGACGCTACTGCTATGCCGCTGCGACACAGACCATGCCGAGTTCATCACCAGTGTCGTTGACGAGCGTGACCACGAGTATGTGCAGGGAGCGACGAAGAAGATAGAGCCGTTGCAGAAGTGTCTCGCGGCTGCGCAGATGCAGGGGCAGGATTTGAAGGCTGCGCGGGACGAGTGGAAGGCGAAAGCGGGGATGAAGACTTTCGATGAGGCTGTCGAGGCCGTTGCGTCGAAAGAAGAGTTTGCCGCTTACAAGGCGGAGCTTTCGAAACGACAAGTTGCTTCTCTGTCAGACCGTCGCGACATCGCAAACAAGACCGTGAAACAGGAAGTGTTCTTCGACTGGGAGCTGTCGCGATCAGCGATGGGACAGTACATGATCAAGAGCTGTGTCAAGGGCATCGTCGAGCGCGCCATCGCCGCTGCGCCACTCGGAGACGTGACCTGGGCGCGTATGGACTCTCCGAAGTGGGAAGACATTGTCGAGTTTCACACCGAAGTTCGCAAGGTGTATCCAGATCGGCTCTTTGCCTTTGGCTACACCGGCGACTATGACTTTGCGAAAGCGGGTTTCAGTGATGACCAGGTCAAGAACCTTCATCTTGATCTTGCCAAGCTAGGGATTGTATGGCAGGTCCAGCCGATCTGGAGTCTGCAGGGTCTGAACATGGTGACGGAGCAATTCGCGAAGATGTGGCAGGACCAAGGTATCGCTGGCTACTTGAAGTCGGTACAAGGTCCGGCTCTTAGCTCAAAACCGATGACTGATGGGTTTGAGAAGTTGAGTTACTGCGGTGGATATTTGGCGGATGCATTCTTCGAAACGGTCGCCGGAGAGTCCATCGTAGAAAAGGGCAAATCAGTGTGATTGTAAAATCGTCGATAGCGTACAATATGAGTACAGTAGTCCCAATGACATCTCTTTTCGTCGACTTGTCATGTCCAGCCCTCGAAGTCAAACACACCAGGGAACGAGAGCAGGCCATCGATAGCCAAATCCTCAAGCCCTGAATCTGCATTTCCGTACTCGAATGGCTGTTGCATAGCAAATGGCATTTGGAAGTTTCCGTTCATCTGCTGTAGCTGATTGCTGAAGTCTTCCTCAGGTTCCTGGTGATGCGGAGCGAGCATGCCACGAATCGTTGGTAGCTGGGAAGGTTGCGTGGAGCGAGGGAAATCTTCGTTCATCATTTCGTCAATCATGCGCAATACCGGACGATGCACTACTAGTGCGCGAACTTGCGGAAGGTGCGTTCGAATTACCGTGACCGTCTTATCTGACAGCCGTGTCGGCGGCTTGTTCGGTCGGTCGACCAGCGGGATTTCGCGCGCCAGTAGCTCGAAGACATCTCGCAGGCATTCTGCCTTCGCCCACCTGTCTGCCATTATCGCTAGAATGTTGGAGCAGGCGCGGAGCGCGTCAGAGACATCGAGAGAATAGTAATTGTCGGTTCTGTGTTCCGGCGGGGTAGCCCAGAAGCAGTACAAAAGTGTGATACCGGACTGGAATTGTACGAGGAGCTGCTAGGATTAGCGCATGCGTCATCGAATATGCGAAATTACTTACTGCAAGCCATGGCTGAGCGATTTGACGATCGATTTGAGTCCTACGAAACATTAAGCAAGCCTGGCTGCTGGCTTGAACAGACCAATCGCCGGCAGACCCGATCACGTTGGCTTTTGTCGGTCGATAAAGCATGAGCAACGTATAATGATAGATCATCGCTTGCCACCGTTGTGATGTATAACCTTTTGACTGTGGATCTGAAAAGTTTTGTACCCTGGATTTGAAGTTCTCCAATTCCGCAAGTATTCTTATCCGCCAATCTGAACTATTCTCGAATTGAGCATGATAATCCCATCGAAGCGTAACAGCGCTTATTTCGGATTGTATACGCCTGCACTGCAGTATATGAAGCGCCGAGGAGTTACATGTGTAATTCTGAGAGTCAGTCAAGTCATGGTTAGGCGGTGTGATGGCGGCGGCTCCTAACAGGTCATGATCCTCGATGTTAGCGAAAGGCCTTACAGTAATCATATAGTCCGGCACAGATGGAGGAAGATCGAAGGATGACATGACCAGCCGATCAAGAAGGTACGCGCACCAAAAGCATCGCCGTCGAACTTGAATGACCAGTCGTGCATGAACGTCGGTCGATGGTGGTTCCGTCTCGCCGAGGTGTAATTGTTGCAGGACACATTGTCGTATCGCTGTGGACGCGAGAGAAATGATGCGCTCAGTAGAGCTCTGGTGTAGTGCATGCACGGACAGCAGTAGATATGCCTGCACCTGGAGGATTCTATCCTGTTGACGTAGCACAGCCGGCAGGAGTGCGATACCACTATCGTAAAATTCTCGAGCATTGAGCATTGCCGTATAAGGTTGACGCAACAGTACTAAAGCTGTCGCGTACACAAGATTGATGAAGAACCCTTGCCATGCTCGTTCTTCAAGGTCACGGGACAAACAGTGCTTCCACTCCGAATGCCATGTGAGGAAGGTGTCCCAGTGGAAAAAGGGATACTGGGCTTGAGCGCGCTCGCGATATGCGTTAAGCAATGACTCTTCGAGTTCCGGAGAGATGCTGGTCAACAGTGTGTGCGCGCTATTCACTTCGACCTGTGCCGGTCGTGCGGTTGTTGGGGTACGAGAAGCATCGTGAGCTGGAAACTGCGCTGAAGGTGATGCGATAAGCCCAAAGATGAGATGATTCAAGTCGGGCTCATCATCTGTGACCGAAGCTATTGCATAACCCGAAGATGAGCCGGAAAGGATAGATGACCGCCGCGGCGGCAGGGTTTGTTGGACTGAATGAGCAATTGCTCCCCCTGTGATCCCATCACCCGGCAACCCACTGCTTGCTGGGGACGTGTCATCTATGTCGTGATCAGGCCTGTTCTGGGTTCTTGCTAAATGATCAAGGCTCTGCTGCGGGTCTCGAGCCTCAAGCTCAGCAACACGCTCTTCCAGAATGCGCACATATTCGCTCTCAACATGCGGCCGAGGCGCTGGCTGCGTAGGAAGGCATTCTTCGTCTCCTTTGACACAATTCTGGCACGGGCGGCTGTCTTCGCACTTCTGTTTCCGATAGCGACATCGCTGGCAAGCTAGGGTTCGTTGCTTTTTAGCAGGCGGCTCCTGCGGAGAGCTTTCTGTATCATTGTCCATCGGGTGTAATTCGCAGGGCTCGGTCCATTCCTTGATCCCGCTAGCGATGGCGGTGATGTTTGTTGCGACGGCATACTTTCACACGGTTTGGGGCGAGGGCGTGGATGACGGTGCCGATTGCCGGGGGTATGCGATAAGGGGGGCCGCGCTTTACCGGAACAGGCGAAGCGTCCACGTGACCAACACTCTCCATCTCCAAGTCTATGCCCCGCCCAAATTTCTCCTGAATTAGAGCCGCTCCCGTGTCAGCTCAGCACTCAATCATGACCACCGTTGACCTGTTTCAACCAGAAGTTTACCCATCTTTTCCTTCTACGAGGCCCACTCGCCCTCTCATTATTAGATACCCTGAATCGACGTGGTGAAGCTTCTTTCTGATAAGACTTGAGACCGTGCGGATTTGGAGCGTGTTCGTACTCAGTCCCACAACACCCGCACGGTCCCTGCCGAAGAAGAGTGTCGATTTCGCAACACTTTCCTGAAGATGCTGCATCAAGAAGACTACGCGTGCCAGCCGTCTTATTTTCGGGTGCGTGCAGCTCCTGACACCATTGGAAGCGTGAGGCTTGATCCTCTAGTACAACGTCGTCCATTGTATCTGGAGGCCGCGTAACTTCAGTGAAGTCTCAGCCTCCTTCTGGTCCGCTAAACAGGTTCTAAAGGCCCGAGTCGGAATCGGAAGTGGAAGCAATGATCGTAATCAATCTGTCGCGATAGCATCTGTAGCGCGTGGGTCTGTGATCAGTAGTCGCCGATATAAGATGTGCAACACCTCGATGGCCCACGAAACAACTGCGCCTCTATTACAGCTAGCCGACCGAAACCAGCCACGATGCGCTTCGAATACTCTAGCTTGGCACTCTTTGCCGGCATTTCTTGGGCAGCCTCTCTCCCAAACACTACAACCTTCGAGCGAGAGACGCGCAGCCTCGATGAGATTTACCAGGCAGCTTTGGCCGAAGGTGGCGTTGTCACGCTTTGGCATGGCGGCGATGAGAAGACTCAGCAAAACAGTCTGAAGAGTGCCTTTGAGGCACGATTTCCTAACATGACACTCAATGTCACCGTCGACCTGTCGAAGTACCATGATGTCAACCTTGACGCACAGTTGGCTGCCGACAATGTTTACGTCGACAGCATCATCCTGCAGACGCTTCACGACTACCCACGATGGAAGAAGCAAGGCGCTTTGATGAACTACGCACCATTGAACTTCGACAAGATCTATCCTGTGTTCAAGGACGCCGAAGCGGCTTACAGTGGACTGCTTATCTTTGATTGGGGGTATGCTACCCCTGGGACACGTCGAGTCACACATGCTAAACAGCAACAGTATCTCTGCCAACATGAACAAAACGAGCACGATGCCTACTTCGTACCAAGATTTCACAAAACCCGAATACAAGGACAAGATCGTTCTAACGTACCCTAACGACGACGATGCTGTCTTGTACCAGTTCGAGCTGATGTACGTTCACCTCTTCGATCATCGTATTCTCATTGGCTAACATCTCGCGCAGCATCGAAGAGCTCGGTGAGGAATGGTTCAACGCCCTGCTGGCCAACAACCCCCGTTGGGTGCGCGGTACTGCCACTCCCGGCACACTCATCAAGGCTGCCAACAGCAGCAGCGCGGTGACCTTTAGCTCCGGTTACTCATTCGCAGACCGACCACCAGTCAAGTACTCGCTCCCCAGCGACGCCAAATTCGTCTCTTGGGCTCAGACCGGCGCAATCCTGAAGAAAGCACCCCACCCTGAAGGCGCAAAGCTACTCCACAGCTTCATGCTCAGCGACGAGAACCAATCTAGCCGTGGCTGGAGCGTTCGTGAGGATATACCAGCACCAGAAGGCGCCGAGACAATCCTGCAGCAGCCCGGTACGGATGCGCCTGCGTTTGCTGAGTTCATGGCAGACCGTGGTCATGTTGAGAGGCGAAGGGACTTTTATGAAGTTAGGATTGGTACCGCGCAGGGTCTTAGCCCGCTCGTTGATGACTTGTGAGCCTGCTGTTGAATTGTCAACGGCGCTCCTGGAGGTAAACAGTCTATAAAAGAGAACATCTAGATTTTATCTTCGGAGGCTGATCCAGTTGATCCGAAAATCTATTGGTTGGCCTCACCGATTTGGCCGTCTCTCTTGTTGTTGAGTATCTCTTGCCCGTTCTGTCCCTCTTTTTTCAGTCTTCCGCGTTTCCTTAGGTCCGTCATTGGCGGTAACCTGCCGCAATTACACCGGGACACTCTCCTTTAACCTGATTTGTCCAAGTGCACATGCAGCAACCTTGGTTAGCCTCGCCAACCTCACTCTCCATCATTGCTGCAACCTCGCATCGCAATCTCCTTCCGTCGCTAGGTCTTCGATATGTCTGAATCAAAGCGATCGGCTGCTAAGTACGTCGCACAATCCAAGCAGGCTCGCTCCTCCAACCCTAAATAGGTACTAACGTGACCCCAGGCTCTTCAACAACCCCGTGCTATCCGATGTCAAGATCAAGCAGATACACGAGGGCCACACGCGCGAGTACTTTGCACACAAGGCTGTGCTATGTCTAGAGTCGGATTACTTTTTTAACGCCTTCACTGGCAGCTTCAAAGTACGTTGGCAATTGCTGGGAGCTACGTGAGGGACGGATGCCAACGATCCCTAGGAAGCATCTGAAGGCACTATTGAACTACATGAAGACGATCCAGAGCACTTTGAGTTCTTTCTTAAGTTCATTTACACCGGTGCATACGACAAACACGAGATCGCCACACTTGCAGGCGACGACAAGAGCAAGCGCGTTCTGGTTCCAATCGGTGTGCACGCCATCGCTGATAAGTACGATGTCGCCAAGCTCTACGAGCCAGCGGCGGAAGACGTCAAGGCGGTTCTTCTGGAGGCTGTCGAGGACGAGGATATGCTCATTACTGCGATCCAAGCTCACTACGGTACCGAAGTCAACGTTGATGGGGCCATGGGACGCCTCATCACTGATGTTGTCTTCGATAAACACCAAGGTCTGCTTGAGACAGAACGTTTTGAGCAATTGCTGCTTGCCCATTCCAATTTCGCTGCAGACGTTGCGTTGCATTCTCAGCGTGGAAAAAGACTGAAAACACTGAAGCTTGCTCAGTGTCTTTATTGCAAGAAACAAGTTGTTAGCGTAGATCACGCGCGGAAGGCGGGAATGAGGAGCTTCTATTGTCCTAACTGTCGGTCGAACAACGATAATCTGTGAGTGCGTTGCCGTTTACGAGTGTAGCTATGATCGAGTTCTTCGCCAAGCGGTCGATACAGATACCGGATTGAAATGTTAACTCCACAACGTAAAATTATTTTCATGACATTTGCCAGCTGTGAATGCACATGTAGTCTATTTGGAAAGACCCAACGTCCGTGACCTGATGATAAACACCTTTACGTATCTCAAACATGCGCTTACCTAGACATCGCACACATCCTGCAATGCAAGAAGTGCACTAATCCAAGTCTATTGCATGCCGCTGTTGCGGACCGAAGCTAGGAATAGCCTACACAGCATTGTGCATAGGAGGACTCGTTGCGATTTCATTATATATGCTGCAATCCGCCAGATGCTCTCTCTGCCGTCTCTAGTGTGTAATGTTTCATACGTTCGCATCAATGCACATAGAACAAAGGTGTCTACCTGGCGGGGCCCTTCAACCCTTGATGCATATCATGCGAGATGACATCGAGAAAGAATTGTTCCTCGTCCATGTTCCATTGATCATGATGACCACCGCAAGCATAGGTTAATCCCTCTGGGTATAAAGTCGTTGAATCCAGATATTGGATTCTGTTAAGCTACTATCGTGCGCTTCATGAAGTGACAGCTTCTTGGTATTGAGCGCCAGGAATGAAGTATTGCGAAAGGAGGACCGTACGATGTTGGCAAAGCACAGACTACTAATGAAAGGAGAACACCGAACATCCCAAGTTTCCAAGAAATGATGATGAGATTGAGGGCAGCACGCACGAAGTGATAACAAGTTCGCCTAATTAGTGATCCCGTAATGCTTCATCATGATCTCATCGTCCACCAGCGTCTCTTCTATGACTAACTCTATCTCATCTTGCGCACAGCAGATATGAAGCTCATTCGGATACTCCACGTCCGGCCGTGGTTGTAAGATATGTACAGCTTGAAGATTAGGCAGTCTCGCCAGGTCTCTTGCTAGCTGTGCGGCAGCCTCTCTTGCTAACCACCTGTAGTTATGATTCCCGTGAAACCGCCCTATTTGATCGTTGCTGAGACCCAAAAAGACGACGGAAGAAGGTAAACTGTGGATAATCTGCAAATCAACGTCGTCAAAGTGAAAATCTCCCGGATCAATCTTTTCAGACGTTTCTGTCAAGATAGCAGCGGGCACTACCAGAGTTTTGAGCTTATCAAACTCTTTCAATGTGCCAGCTGCAAGTGTGTTGTAGGTACCCACGTTGCCTACCTGATGAACACCGCTTCCCATGGACAGGCAGAGATATCGCAGCGTTTCTTTGCTTTGAACAAGGGCTTTGCAGATGCCTGCAAAATCCAGATGCGTGATTTCATCTTCGTCTGTGCGGTTGATTGCCATGGCGCATGCCCGGAAGCGAAAGTCTGAGAGCACACGACATGGTCGCACGGTTCTCAGCACCTGTCCCATCGATATTTGACAGTCAACAAGATGAAGTGTGGTCAACTTTGAGAGCATTTCTCCGTTGAACGGAATACGTTCAACACCCGCCTGGAGGACGCCCATTACGTCCATCGGAGTATCATGCCGAAAGTGACGCAGTGCCGGAAGAGCATCGAGTGTCGAGATGCATGTGTCGTATGTTTCAGGCTCTGGGAAGTCAGGATGCTTTTCGATACCCTCTCCGTGGAAGTTGTCGAGATTGATGGTGGCGAGTCTCCCGTAGTTGTGGAAATTGGGTACGTTGGGTGAAAGTTCGAGACCCAGAATTCGGCTCAGCGGGCCATCGTAGCTGTAAAGAGCTAACTCCGATACGTTCGGACACAACCAAAGCAAAAGCATGATCTGTGCTTGCGCTGGGGTATCGTTGAACTTTTTAGTCCAAAGGTCGGCCGTGTGAGGATTGCTGAGACGTTCCACCATGGCCGGCTGGCCTGCATCGATTGCTTTTCTCATCGCATTCGTTGTCCACCGGCAACCCTGCGTCTGTCGACCTAAATGATAGATGCTGCGTATCTGTTTGATGTATTTTGCCAGATGCGGACGTATACTGAGGGTGCGAAGGAGACAAGTCAACTGGCGAATCATGCAAGCTGAAATGTCGTCGTCATCCAAATCAGCTCCCTTGAGCTCTTCCTCGTCTTTGTCGTCTTGTCGTCACTATAATATGGCCGCCCCACGATGTTTATTGCCTCGTAAAGCAAAGGTCGCGCAGCCTCTAGGAGTCGACTTGATGTTACGCACAAAATGAGTAAATCCCATATTCCACGATCGTCCTCTTCTTTTAGCTTTGTAACGATGGTCTTGGGAAGGAATCGAGTGCTCGGCCGGAGATAACGAAAGATCTTGATTCGCAATTCGAGAGGTAATGTCGCAAGATTCGGGGCGACTTCGTTCGAGCTGACCAACGAGATGGTTGTGTCGTCGTCCATCATTGCGGCATAACTCTGTGTAAAGAGGGAGAAGTGATTCGCAACAGTGAGGCGAATGTTGACTGTCTGTTTTATGAGACTGCGTACATTTGGTAATATTTCTTTTCCACAGTGCTTGTGGAGATTGCGGACGCGTCGCGACCTCGGAAGGCTGGCACGTCCACGGGTGTGTCTGGCGTGGCCCACCAAGCCGGGGCCCTGTTATCGACGTTTATCCTGGAAGCTAGGGTCTGAAACCCGTCGAAATGCAAGCGTATAAGTGCAGTTCTATCGAGCGTCGAGCCAGTGGGCCATGCATTTTGCCCAGTTACCCAAGTGGAGCATCGAGCCTATCTAGGTACCAGGCCCTGCTGTCCACACTTGGGAACAACAACCTAGGTAGCGACAAATAAATCATTGCACCAAAGAATCCGGCATGATCGTTTGCACATGAGAAAATATGCGTTCCTGCAGGCGCTCGTAATCAGCCAAACCAAGCAAAAAGCATCGAGAGGGAAAAAGGAAAAACTCGGAAATGCGGGCTAGATGGGGCTAAGTTGGTAGAGCGGGTAAAGACGTTCGAGCTCCCATTTGCCAGAAAAGACGACGGAAAAAGATAAATGCAGTTGCATCGCCGCCTGCCTGTAAGGTTGTTCAGCTAGGAAGGCGATGTCTAGAGCTGGTTCGCGACGAGCTGAGGGGGTTGGTGCGCGTTGCTTGGCGTTGTCCAAATCAGGCAACTTGTCGACAGCCGTTGATTGCGGGCGTATACAATGTTACCACCGTCATCTGAACTTTCCTCCTTCCACACCTCGGCAATTCTGATTAAGTCGGCCAACGTTATTCGGCCTGCGCAAGACACCCTCCCAGGAAACATTAAAAACAGTATATCACTTGCAATACGGTTCATGAACCAAGGCTATTTACCTTTTCTTTATAAGTAAAGTCTCACGCGTACGTCATATTGTTGGTGTTCTGACGAGAACTTTCACATCAACTAAGCCACGCGCTCACATATCGCGCGACGTGAATTCGATCCCGGATGACGTTGGACCTGAGTATCTATATCCAAGATCCTTCGCATCGTTTTTGCAGCGGTGAAGATGATATCGTACGATGTGGTATGTCTATGACCTCAAAAAGCGTTGGTTGGCTTCGGTAGATTTTGCAGATGTAAGCATGCAGCCAAGATGTAACGATATACAGAGTAACATGCCCGAAGAGCGAGCAGCATCATCTAAACATCATCAGACTGATTCCGTATCATTTCCGCTGAACATCATGGCCGTTGCGCTGAAGTGCAAGTGCAGTAATTCGGGTGATACTGAACTCGGTGTAGAGTAAGCGCTTGATGCGTCGCAACCCCATATGGGTCCTACGATGTTATCAAAAAATGGATATAAAGGCAAGAAGAATGCGTGAACATCATTCAAGCACAAGATCAACTCCCACTGCCTCCTCAAAAACACCTTTCAGATCAATAAGTCCATCCAGACATCCGGATCCAACACCAATTGCACACGAACTCGTAAGTCCTCCAGGGTGTCGCAAAATTCCAAAACCTAACTAATTCCCCAACCAGTCCACCCACAACCATGAAGCACATCACCACCCTCGCCCTCCTCATCAGCGCCACCACCGCCATCGCCATCGAGCCTCTCTCAGAAGTCCACGCGCAAAGCTGCGCCAGCCGCGATTGGGGCTGTGAAGACGGCTATTGCTGGAAGAAGTGTGGCAACCTAGGAGAATGGTGCTGGCAAGCTGCAGATGCGGGCCAGGGCAGTTGGGTGACTTGCGAAAACGATGCGGCCTGCAATATAAACTTTATCCCTAGTGCTGGGTGTGGCGGCGCGTGCAGCTGCTGAGCACAAGAAAGGAATGCGAATGAAGGCGGCTTCTCAACTCCGCTGTATCAGCCCACCACTCATTTGGGCTCTTGGCTTCCAGAAAAGGTATCCAGATAGTGTTCGAGAACATCAATGACTTCTGCTTGGGGGCTTTCCGCGCTGCCGTTCCGCATCTTGTGTGCGTTTTCCTGCTTCTTTCTTGTAGCTACCGCTTTTCGATGCGCTCGGCTCTTGACGTGTAAACTCCAGTCGTTCTCGGTGATAGACGTCGTGCCGCATGTCTCGCAGACCTTCTTCTGCCAGAGGTCTGGTCGCTGGCCTAAATCGTACTCGCGCTTGGGTGTCAGCATTCCTGCTGCTGCTTGCGATAATGTCGAGGGTGAGGGAAGTGGTTGGCCGGAGAGGAATTGCTCGGTAATGGCGATGGCGGGTTTGACGACGTTGTCTTCCCACTGAGGTATGTCGGAGCCGTCGACCAGGAAGGTGGTATTCTTCTGGCCTGCAGTGATCAGTGCGTTGAGAAGCTTAATGCGTATCCATTTGATCTGGCGATTGGCGTATTGACGGGTGGCTGCCTGTGTCTTCTCGATCGCGAGAATCTTAAGCTTTTCTAGTTCAGATGCCTCCCGCGAGCCACTTGAAAGAGCGCTTTGGTACTCTAGAAACTCTTTGTATCCTATTGATACCCAGATGCCGCGGCTCTGGTCGATACTGGCACCTGTGCCGGCTTCGTGCCGCTCACGGAAACTGCTGAGTTCTTCGACTTCAGAAAGCAAACCTCTGGCGATCATCTTATCAACACGGCCGTCAAGACGGCGATGCAGCACGTCTTTGTTTGCATGCACCCAGAACACGAGAGTTTCGAAACGAAGGCCTGACCGGGTATCCGATGTTGTGCCATCCGCTTGGGCAGCAGAGGCCTCGCGCTGCAGTTTCTGTTCTTTGTAAAGTTGCGAAGCTGGCTTGCCTGTTCTTAGGTATATCTCCAGTGAACGCTGGATTTTGCGCCGCTCATTCGGATGCCACCGATCGGCCATGATAGGATCGACTTCCCTGAGCTTGGTATGCAAGACATCAGTCGGCTCTTCCAGTATAGGCAGAGGCTGGGTGTTTTCACTCAGATTCAGCTCTGGCTCATCTGATAGCGCATCCTGAAATAGGAGTGACTGCGTATAGTAGTGAGTACCACCAACTAAGACCGGGAGTTTGCCTCTACTCCGGATCTCATCGATCTGGTCACGTCAGTCTTCATCCGGACTGCATGCTATTCGGCCATACTGTTCTCAAAGCCTCGCCTACGAATTTCCCAACGGTCCAAGTCTCTTCTTCAAGGCTGATGCAGCCTAATAGATGATGAGGAACGCCTTTCGTCTCATCTTGCGTAATCTTGTTGGTGATAATAGGCAACCCACGATACAGTTGCATCGCATCACCATTGATAATCTCGCCATTATACTTTCGGGCGATCTCTACAGCCAGCTACCTGATGTGGTCAGCAAGATGAAGCATGACCAGACGAATGAGTTTTACATCAGACTTGCCAGTCCCTGTCGCACCGACGATGGTGATTAGAGGCTTTCGCGGCGCTTGCGCCATTTTGATACTACTGAATGCCCTTGCGAACAGTAACATGCGTTTGATGGGACGACCGGAACGGCTGCCAATGACTGAGTGTCTGAAAATGTTGGTTAGCGTCAAGCGGGGTGCGCCTTCCCTCTTTGGCGATAGCGCAATACTCGACAATCGATCAACTTGAAATATCTCACTTCCCAAGATCTAAAGTCTATAGATAGTCTTGTCTTGTGATGTAAGCGAAGTCGTTGATATTGAACATTGTGTTATGACTCGTGCCGGACATGTGGATTGGATCGTGTACGAGCGAGTATCGCGTATAGCTATAGGCGAACTGTACGGGTAATTAAAAGTGTTTGTTGAATATGATGGGGTATCATCGTTGAGTGCCGCCCAAACGCCTGTTGAAACTCCATCGACACGCATTGTTGAAGCGTGCCAAGATGTATTCTCCTTCTCCACCCGGTGCTACTCCTTCTCCACCCTCTTCTCAGCGCCATAACCGCCCTTACCCTCCAGATTCTGATACGACGCGCCCTCACCCTTCCCATTCCTAGGTCCCCGCTCCGTCAAATCTTCCTGCAGCCACTTCAACACCAGCTCACCCAGCTGGCTGTTTCCGGTGTACATGCGCTCGCCCTGCTCGACCTTGACATCCATGTCCTCGGTGCTACCCCACTTCTTCACCTTGCCCAGGCTCATGTGCACGAGATGTGTGGGCCATGTTGCGAGGTTATCCAGAATATGCGTCGCGTATACGATTGTGCAAGGTCGTTCCTCCGTCTCCTTCTTCAAAAAGTTGAGGAAGTTGCTGCGCGACAACAGATCGAGATCGACGGTGATCTCGTCCAGCAGCAGGATGGTCCACGGTCTCAGCAGACCCATGGCAAGTTGTACCCGCCTCCTCTCGCCGTCGGATACGGCGTGCATGCGCCAGCTGAGGTCGATGTCGAGGATGCGCACGAGTTCGTCGCGGCGCTCGGTGTAGTGGTCGCCGCCGATGGAGGACAGGAGGGTGGGCACGTCGATGTCGGTACGCACGATGGGGTTGAGCACCCATTCCAGACCGAGGTAGGTCACGCCCTCGAGGCCCATCTTGAAAGGGTCGATGCCTGCGATGTGGACGGTGCCGGAGGGGGCCATGCGCTTGCCAGAGAGAAGACGGAGGAGCGTGGTTTTACCCGCGCCATTGGCTGGGATCGTTAGTCGAGACTCTCACAGCTAACATTCCATGTTGCATACCTCCGATCAAAAGTGTTCTGCTGCCGGGTGGCAGGTCAAGGAAGACATCTTTCAGCCCACTCGAGCCATCGGGGAAGGCATAGCAGAGGTTCTTCACGTCAATTGACGGCGCGACTTCCTTGCTGTTGGCTGTGTTCGACATTGTAGCGTGAGAATGCGTGTATAGTGGCTGTTACACCGGTGGTGGGAGGAGACTACATTTTGTAGGTAGCTTACGGTGGAGTCACCTCGGTGGGCTAGACTTCCAAGTCGACATGAGTGATGCCATCATTCCGCTGGGGTCCGCACTAGGCCCGAACAGGCAGGCACCGTCCTAGACTCTGACGGCACTTCGTCTCAGCCTCAGGTTCTTCAACTTTGTCCTACTTTTCGAACTGTCGTTCATGGTTTACTGGCAGGGTCAGCTGTGCTTGGTGGTCCGGTATGCTCCGCGGCGCTATGTCATCACGCAACTCCGAAATCGCAGCGCATGCTCAATAACATCACAGCCTGAACAGTAGACTCAAGGCTTTCCCTTGATTTCCACATATAACAAAAGATGGGCGTGCTGGTAGTAACGTAACATCGCAATGATTTGTATTGCGCGAGAAATGTACCACGATTCATCCGCACGTTTAGTCATGAAGCAAAGCACGTGAAATTCGACAAAGCTACCGCCCACGCAAAGCAAGAAATCACGTTCCATATATACAACCACTGTCTTCCTCCTATGTACAATTGTCCCGTCGTCCCCTTCCACTCAACATAACAGATCATTTGGGCGATGCGCTTAGAGAGAAACGCAGCCGGAGCTGGAGTCCTCAAGGAAGAGACCACCGTAGATCTGGCCCTCGTCAAGGTTGGCCTCCTGGAAACCAGCGTTGGCGACATCGTCAGTACCAGTGGGCTTCTTGAGAATGCCCATCTGGAACTGGCCGAGACCAGCAAGGTTGACGGACAAAGGACCAGCGACCTTCCTGAGCTCCTGTTGGCCGGCGGAGTAGAAGATGGTTGTCTCGCTGGACGTTTGTTAGTATATTTTCTGGAATTAGGAGTGAGAAAGGACGTACTTCTTAGTGTAGTCGAGGGTCATAGCAAAGTTCTGCCACTGGGTCTGGTCGATCTTAACGTTCCAGAGCCACTTGCCGGCACGGTCAAGAATCTTGAACTGGTCCTTGTCGGCATCGCTCTTTCCAATAAGAGATCCAGTCTGGAACTGGATCTGGTTGTTGCTGAAGTCGGCAGCCTCGTGCCAGACGTTGAGGTACTCGTGGGTGAGGTTCAAAGGCCTGGCGGAGTCCTGCTTGACACTCCAGTGGAGGGTCTTGACACCCTTGCCACCCTCGCCGTCAGGGGCATCCTTGAGGAACTGCAGACCGGCGCGGCGGAATCCCAGCTGCTTCTGGAAGATGGACTCATCGGAGATGGTCACCTCAACAGCCTTGAACTTGTCGCCATCGAAGCGCGAGGACTCGTTGGGGAACTTCAGGATCTGAGACCAGGTCAGGTTGTTACCCTTGACGAAGTCGGCGTTGAAGAGCGTGTTGGTGGCCTGAGTGTCGAAGGAGACGGGTGTCATGTTGGCAGGGACACGGCCGTCGAAGACGATGGGGCACTTGGGCTCAGCGGCGCGAGTGACATGGGGGTGAAGGGCGGGTGCAGCCAGTGCAGTGGAGGCAACTGAGGCCAAGGTAATGAGCGTAGAAGTGAACATGATGATGGTTCAAAAGAATGTAGTAGAGACTGTGGATGCGCTGGATGTGGATGAGACGACAATAGTGGGTGGGTGGAGACACTCTTTATACAATTCTCAAACGCGACACTGAACGCTTCCTTACCCCAAGTCCATCTGAGCACGGTTCATATTAGATGAACATGTCGGTGCCCACGCGTCCGGCTTGTTCCATGGCCGAAATATAGGGATACCCGCGCATTCATTTGGGGTACTGCAGAAAGTAGACAGCTAACCAATGGCATGGGCAGGAGAATAGTGATGGAATATTCTATAGTAGGCCCGACGACGTCAGGGTAAGGCCGCATTAATATAGGTGAAAGACGCTGCTGTGATGAGGCTCCTTAACCGGGATGTGGGGTAATGTGCACGGCTGCTGGTCAAGTACCGGACGGTCCGGCAACCCGTTGCTTTTTAACCTGGGAGTATTAAGAAGAGGAGTCGCGCCGACTGTTGTACCTGAGATGAGAACGGTCTTTTACCGTCCACCGCACCTCAATCCAACTCTTCATCACATCGCGATCCTTTTCGAACAGGACCTACTGCCTTCACAGCCCAAAGCGCAATTTCATGCGTGGAGCAGCAGCGACAACCGACATTTTCAGAAAGCGACCGAATCAGGCCGTCAAACACACCGGCGCCGCCAAGTTTCATCAACACCGGGAATGCGACCGAGTCGTAATGATCTGAACAAGCATGGCTGTCAGCAATGGGCTGAATGTGGTTCTAGAGTCGTTCGCGACGCTGGGCATAATGTTGAAATGGAGAGGATATAGTGGTGTCAAGAGTTGGCAGCAGCCGTTCGGCGACGCGCAGATGGTCCAAGCGGAACAACTGTATTCCACCCACCGGCAGCGGAAGGTCAAGCCTCCGCTCTGGACGAATTCACTCCAAATCGTCCATCTACCTACCACGAGGGTATCTCAAGGGCCGAATGCGCGTCGGGTAGATGTGAAGATGTGTGCTATTATCATATACAGGTCTAACGCCCGCGGTATCATACCGCCTCGCAGTTTATGCCCTGCGTCTATGCTCAAACTCTGTTCATTACATATTCGCCCAAGAAGCTCATCGGCCTGATGTCCATCTTCCTGTCAACATGACGCTTGCTCAACGCGCTGTTTGCGACGCTCCACATATCCAAAATGATGTGCCAACCCAGAACGCCATGCATGAACGTGGTGCAAGCAACCGCAACGCCTCCCTATATGTCGCTGGTCTCGAATACAAGTCCGTCTCTATACGCTGACGTATGAGTGTTTCTACATCTCTTGTGGGGTCAGCCAGGTGGCTTCGACGCAACCTTCGTAAAACTCTCTCTGGCCATTTTGTCCCTCGACACCAAAGCCCATGTCGCGGAGCTTTCCGGTGTCCCAGCCACTGACGAACTCGCCTTGACCGCCGTTTTCTCGGTCGACAGCATCGCCAAGCTTGATGTAATCGGCGTGACGACAGACGGTTTGCGAGTAAGACCATTGGAGGCAGTTGCCGTCATTAGCGCACTCTGAACCGCACGAGCCGGCGTTGCGATGTGCGGGACGATCGTTCGGTACGGGCGCTTGCGAAAGGTTATCCCACCATTCTTTCGAGGGACCCTGTGATAGGAAGCCGTGAGTATAAGAGAGGAACGAGGAGTAGGTGAATGGTTTCTATGACGTTATGTTAGTCAGGTAGCTTGGGTTGGAGCTGAGGAAATGCTTACCGTGTTGTACGGCCGTGTCCTTTCCCACCTCCACAAGTCTTCCATCTGCTGTGGCTTGAGTTGGTGCAGCGAGAGCATTGGCACGCACCACTTGTCGCGTGTGGTGGTCACATCTTTGAGCTTGTCGCTAGCAAAGGTAGGGTACATGGGCTCGAGCTTGTGGCCGGTCGCGTTCTGGATGGCGTAGGCAAGGACAGCGTCGCCGCGCTGCTCCTCCTTGACCCAGTTCTCGTATCGAACGCCTAGTCGGTTTTCGCGGGGGATCTCGGTGGAGCCGGGAGTCTTGCCTGGAATGAGTTGCTTGACAAGGCCCTGAGACAGGACGATACCTGCGCCGCCATAGGCGAAATGGCGGCCTTCAGAGCCCTTGTGCGCCTCGCCAAGGTAATGTGGCTGCGAGGCGTCGAGCTGGCTTAGCAGGCGGAACAGCGTGTCCCAGAAAAAGTAGACGTCCGACTCAATGAAGACGAACCATTTGGCTGCGGGGTTGGTCATGTATGCCTTGTCCACCATGGGCAGGTACTTGAAGCGATCGAGCTTGAAGGACCGCTGTTGCTCCTTGACCGTCTCGCCGCCTTCGTGTGCCTTCTTGTGCTCGACGTAGATCTGGAAGTCGACATTGTCCTTCTGGTAGCTCTTGGGAAGCTCTGCGAGGATGTCGATGACATGGCGGTCTCCCAATCGCTCTTCCCGGTCGCCCACGATGATCAGGTTCGTGATGCAGCTCGATACTGTGCTGAGGTGTGCTTTCGTCTCATGTGCCCCATCCGATGCGACCTTGAGGACAACCTGCACCTCTTCCAGCAGCTTGGTAGGGAAATTCTGGCAGTAGTCGAGCTCGATTGAATTGGCGGCTTTGGTTTCGAGGGGCGGGAAATACGACTTTGTCTTCGCTTTGTGTACGGGCGCCTGGGGATGTGACCCTCTCCGATGCGAGAGTGTGTATGCAAAAAAGAAAAGAAGGAGGCCGGGGAAGAGAAATCTCCATGGCCGCCGTGCCAAACGGCCAGCCAGCGGTTTCAGCATGTTGCCGTCGCTGCGGCCGTGGGGGATGGGCGGTCGCTAGGGGCCTGGGGAGCCGCAGGTGGTAGGGAGCGATGCTATGAGGAGCAAGGTGCGATGGGTAGGCGGGCAACGTCACCGTGGCACATTGAGCAGGCGGTTGGTGTTGGGTGGTGGATGTGGAGGTGTCGACGACGATGATGGCGCATTGGCCCTGAACCGCCGTCCTGCGCGACTTGCGAATCCAGGCCGGCTCCCTGACACGCGAACCCGCTAGCCGCCGGCGCTTGGCCTTCCCCTTGTGTCTTGGTGCTCCAACACTCCAACCACCTGCAAACCTCAGTCCTTTCATCCTCCTTCACCCGTGATTGCTATGCGCAACATCGCCATGCATGTTAGGTGCAACAGTTTCAATATCTACAGCGGGCATGTAGAATGCTGGCGATGACGTGTCCGCCATTCTCATCGACTTCCTGGAAGAGTGGGAGCTATCCGTATCCGTCCAGTGGAATGACCGCTCTTCAAACTGGTTGTACTCTGGGTCGTCCTCCACGTCCGACCAGTTTGGTAAGTTGTCCATGTCAAAGTCATCCGTGTCTTCGTGGTCGGTTCTTGGAATACTGTCTGGGTGTGGCGAGAGGCCAATCGATTCCAGGAAGAGATCACACGAGTCGGCCGATCGTGTTATGAAGAAAGGCGCGCGCTCCATGTCCGCACCTCCACGCTGCCGAGTTGCGTGTTCCCGCTCGACGAGTTGCGCCGAAGAACACGCGAACGACCATGCTGAGGCGCTCTCTTGACTGGTGAGGCTAAGCGTTATTGCGTCCGCATGGGATTGCATGTCCATCATCGAAGAATAGAAACTCGCTCTTTCCTGTATGGCGCATTGATCGTGTCGACGTTCCTCTCCAGTACGGTTGCGTTCAATCCTGTTCTCCGGGCCACATACGAAAGACCTGCTCAAGTCCCTAGTCGTACCAGGAAGGCTCATAGTCTTTGGTCGCGCGGCGCTTCGTGAAAGACGCCGATCGTCTTCCTCAGATGTATTGCCCGCAGCAAAAGACGAAGACAGCGTCAGTCTCTGGCCAATGATACGTAGTTCGTCCAGCGGTAGCCTGTGTACGAAACGCAATATCGCAATATTGACTTGGAGACCTGCATACGCATTCAAATCGCTTATACGCTGATTGACTGTATCCTTTCTCGGAGCGCTATCGATGGACGCTCCACCCCGCTTCACTGTCTCGGGGCATGTGCGGTCAATTGGCGCGATCGGTGGCGTAGACGGCGACGTTCGCGCTTCGCTGTGGGACGTTGCTCGGGTTTCTATTGTCGAGGTAGATTTGCTGTCGGTGTCGTGTTGCGCCAGAGAAGAGAAAGGGCTTGATTCGCGCGACCCTATGGACTCGCCGCGCGCTTTAAACATGGAGATTGACAGTCGACGACTTAGCGAACGAAAGAATCGCTTGACTTTTCCCATCGGTAAGCTTGATATTCCCGACATAATCATAACGCTGGTTGAAGAGTAAAGCGTTGCAGTATTTTCGAGTAATTACGGTGTAGTATAGGAGATCAACTGTCATAGCGCACTCGTGGCTTCTTTCACAAGTCCGGCGCAACTTTCGCTCGGAAGACCTTTGCCGTTCGCACCTGGATTCACCGGCCGTCGTGAATACATACGACAGCTGTCTTGCCACGTCCTTCCGCTTCACGAGTACCTCGTCGTAATACCACATCCGAAGCTACACAGTGTATCGAAATAAAGGCGTGGGAGAGGAAACACAACGGAAACGATGGTGTTGAAAATTAGCTTCGTACGATTTCCCGATACTCACAGCGGCGACGTGACTCGCATGAGGTATATAATGTGTGCTCCGTTACTACACTACTCCTCGACCAGAGACCATACTTTCATATTACTGCCACTGATCTAGCCGCCAGCAACATACTCACTTTACTCAGCAAGCAAGACATCGTACACAAGCAATCGCAATACAGCTACCATATCCCATCATGAAGTGTCAGCTTCTCTCCACCTCGCTCCTCCTGAGCCTCGTTCTCGCCGCACCAGTCGCAGAGCCAGCCAATCTCGTACAGCGAGCTGACAAGCAATCCTGTTCATCAAAGCCCCACCCAACTCTAGAAGACTTCCACAAGGCAGCAAAGAAATGGTGCGACGATCACGTCCGCGCCGACGCTCCCATGCCACCGATGTTACCCAAGCCTGTCATCGACCCTCACAACAAGCCCGTGATGCCGCCTCTTACCGCCGATTACACCTTTAAGCTACCCAATTCCGACAAAAAGAAGCCCGATATCTCTGTCCCTGTAACATTCGAAGTCCGCGGCTTCGCGCCTATTACCCGGCGCTATTGTCACATTAGGTTTGGCCTGCCGGTCACCTTTGACAATGGGCGAGCCGATGATGGGAAGTATCAAGTGGAGGAACAGGTTGGCAAGGGTAATGTGTGTACGGGATCAGGTGGGAAGACGCTGGTGCAGGGTTGGAATCAGACTATATGGTGGAATGAGTATGGCGTTGTTTTTAAGTGAAAGTGAGAAGATTTCGTCTCATAGTTGTCACGGACGTGTAAAAGAGGACATTTCTAGTATCTTGTATCAATTATCTACTATGGTTTGCCGAATACGTCTCAGCAACACTGTGTCATCTCGTTGTCATCAATACGACCGGAAGGTCGCCGTGGGATCCTGCAGTAACATTCGACCAGATACAGTGCTGTCATGCGTATACATCCTCTACTGACCTGCTCCTCCATCCATTACAAACCAGTATAAAGTCTCTAAACCTCTTCCGCCATCCTCGCACGACGCGGCAACTTACTTCGTGGTCGGCTTGGGCTTCTCGGGGATGACGGGGGCGGGTGTAGTCATCTGGGGGACATGCTTATTGTCCTCCAAGACCTCGTCCGGAAATCCGCTTTCGCTATGCGCCAAGGTGCACTCGACGAGGGGGCACTTGTCAGCAGCGAGGTTGAAGTACTTGCATCTCATGCGCTTGCACTCCAATCCGCGATAAGTGCATGGCCAGCAAGGCGAGCTACCGTCGCACTGTTTGATGGTCTTGCTGTGGAAGCACTCGACGCACGCGACGAACTTCTTGTTCTTACGGCGGCGCTTGTTGGAGTTGGGCAGCGTCCGAGGTCCTCTAAGATTGCGTTAGCGACAGCAACAAGAGTATCAATGTTAAAGACATACCCGTTCTGTTCACCCCCGGGCAAGGCACGCTTCTTGGTCTTGATCCGAGCGATGGCCAGCCTAGCCGCATCCAACTGCGACTTTGTCTCTTCAGCGGCCGCTTCAGTGCGCCTCAACTTCAGGTTGACCCGAACGGCGGTATTGAAGACAGCCTCCTTCTCCAACTTCACAGTCCGAAGCTGACGGGCCAAGGCCTCGTTCTTTTCATTGAGTTCAAAGATCACGAACTCTTGCTTCAAGGCCTCCAGCCTCCGCTCCGTTCCCTGCCGAGCAGTCTCAGGAGTGCGTCCCATGTCACGAAGACTGGCGTTTGTAGCTTTGATAAGCGCCAGATGATAGACGAGACGGCCGTTCATGAAGTGGATGTTTTCGAGACCCTCTTCGCGAGGGACGGGCCTGGGACCGCCTCTAGCCATACGACTAGGTTTGGTCAGTCACGTATCAGGCGATGGATGTGTTCATAGACTCACCGTGAACGTGATCCTGAGTTGCTACAAAATGAAAGCAGATACTCGAGCTCTGCCTCGTCGTTCGCAAAACGCATACCGCGCATACCGAGAGCTTGCTCGTAGGAGGGAGGACCATTAGATGACTCGTAGGCGGGAGGATCATTAGATGACTGATCGTCGCGCGGGTCCGCCATGTTCGTGGATGGTTGGATTGAAGATGGTCAAAGAGGTGCGGGGTCGGGACCGACAGAGTCACTGGCTAATTGATATACTGAGGTGCGCGCTAGACGAACATGCGGTCTAGCCATGTCCAAAAGCAGACGCTATACCTTACTAGTCGTGGTAACAGTGAAAGATCGTATCTCCTCGTCACATTTGCTAAGATACATTTGCCTCGCCACAATCCCTCGATGACTGAATATACCTGGGTATGTAGGTACTGCCTTTCCATATGTACGTCCGCAACTTCTGTGGCTGCAAGTACGAGTTGAATGGAACGCTACCAAATACGATCTTCGGCGCTGAGTGACTACTTCAACATGTATATGTTTGTTAACTAGCTCTGCGAAAGCACATGATCTTACGAGGATACTATCAGAACACACGAGATTTCACTGTCACTTCACTTTGCATAAGAAGCTATAAGGGTGACATCAAGTCATGAGTACACCAGGTTCATCTGCAATGCGACCTTTTGTAGATACATTGTTCTATGTGTTCACATTTATTGCGGCCGTAATGCTTCCCAGTGGCCGTAATGCCTCCCAGTGGCGACATTAGTACATAACTCTGCTTCCTGTAGACCCAAAGTGTCTTGTATCTATACACGCGAAGCTACTCATCCGCTGTAATCCCAACCTAATTTCCGTCCTTGAACAGCTCGCTGTAGTCATCCATGTGAACACGGGCACAGTTGACGATGTCACATGCAACACGCGGCTGGTCGTAGTTGCGGCAGATGGGGTTGGTGGGTGCCCTTGTTCATTAGTGGATGTATATGATGACAGATGGGAGGCTAGACTTACGAAGTGGTTGTCTAACTGTTCGAGACATGGGCGGCCTCTGGTGTCGACTGAGGAGCAGCAACGTCCTCGTCCTTCTGAGCGTTGCGCGCCTCGAGAATAGCGACTTCCTCCTCAAGTCTAGCGACCTCCGCCCAAAGTGCATCTGCACGCTCTTTCGCGGCTTCGACCATCGCATATTCTGCGCGGACCACGTTCTCCAGGTTCTTGAGACAGGCGTGCTCAGAGCGAAGTAGACGCTCGAGCGCCTTCCGTCTAGCGCGTCGCTCGTCGTCGGTGAGAAGCGAGCTATACAGTCAGAAACGACCGGAGTGAGTGGCTGTAGGGGGTACTTACA